CAAAGAGCCCAGACCTCAGCCCTACTAGACACCTTTGGGATAAATTGGAAGGCCAATTGTGAGCCAGGTGTTCTCATCCAACATCAGTACCTGACCTCACAAATAGGCAATAATTGTGCTCTTCCAACCTTGTGATAACAGTTTGGTGAAGACCCTTTTCTGTTCCTCCATGACTGTGTGCAAAGCCAGCTCCATAAAGATGTGGTCTGGTCAGTTTGGTGTGGAGGAACTTGAGTATCCTGACCTCAACCCTACGGAGCACCTTTGGGATGAACTGGAACAGATGGTGAACCAGGTCTTCTCATGCAGCATCAGTACCTGACCTCACAAACAGGCACAAATTCCCACAGACACCCTCCAAAATACTGTGGAAAGTCTTCCCAGATGCATGAGGGACGTCATAGCTACAAAGAAGGGAAGAGTTAGGGACCAACTCCATATTAAGAATCATGGTTTATAGTGAAGGGTACTTTCGAAACTACAGCAGACATTGTAGATAATTGTGCTTGTCCATCCTTGTATTAACAGCTTTTCTATTCCAACATGACTGTGCCCCTGAGTACAAAACTAGCTCCATAGAGACATGGTTTGACCAGTTTGGGGTGGAGGAACTTGAGTGTCCTGCTCAGAGCCCTGATCCCATCCCTACTGAACATTTTTGGAATGAATTTGAATGCCAATTGTGAGCCAGGTCTTCTCATCCAACATCAGTTCCTGACCTCACAAATGCTCTTTTTGGATGACAGGAATTCTAGCCTTCCACTGCACTTCCACCCTTATGGCAACAGTCTTGTAAAGGTTCTTTTTGGTTCCAGCATGACTGTTCTCAAAGCTCCATAAAGACATGGTTTGACCAGTTTGGTGTGGAGGAACATGAGTGTCCTGCACAGAGCCCTGACCTCAACCTTCCTTAACATCTTTGGGATGAATTGGAACACCAATCGCAAACTAGGTCTTCTAGTCCAACATGTGCAGCCTGCTTTCTGTTTACTGCTGCTGCATAGTGGCTATGCTTTACTGCTCCTTTGTCATAACACAATTCTACCAGTCATATATAGGGCGACAGGCTTTTATCTCAGTATTTGTTCGTCAAGAGGTTGGCAGACTGCAGAGAGATACATCTGAAAGTAGATTTTACAAATCTGTAGAGATAAAATATGCCACAAGTATGTACATATGTCAAAAGTACATTGGACTTTCAATCCCAGTGTCAAGAGAGGCAGCACTAGATGGCACTTTGGTACTGTATATGTGAGCTGACAGGATGAGAAAGCAGAAGGATGACCTGGTTGGTATCCAATCAGAGGCCTGGGGTGTTTGGTATCCCAATCAGAGGGAGTAGTGCTGCTGCTCTGACGAAGTAGGGGCAGGGGGACTGACCATTTGAAAAACTCGGGCACTGCCCGAGGGCCCGGGGTCAGTAGGGGGCCCCATGAGATGCCCCTGGTACCTTTTTCATAGGCTTTTTTGAGTTTGGGCAAGGACACAGGGGCCCCATGATCCCCTATTGCCCGGGGGCCCCATGAGTTGTCAGTCCGCACCCTGGCTGCAGAGAAGTGTATTTCCTGATTATTCTATCAGCTTTGAGATAACGATCATTTCTAGGCTTCACTGAAAGAAGTAGCCTTTAGGGTGCGGTGACGTTTGTTTAATATCGTAATTGTCAGATACAATTACATTATTAAAAATACAGGGTTAGTTCACCATTTCAGAAGAAATAAAAAGGTAAACTGACACCCTAACCCATTCCACCCTTCCCCTGTGAGCGATACAGGTTCACCATCCAGAGATCGGTATATAGTGGTCCCGGGGTTTGAAAACCATGCTGTTCTTCTTTTCCTAGGGATGGCAGGATTAATCAAAGCAGTTCTGATTAGTCAACTCCGGCATGTGACCGCACTGACTGTCCAGAACTGCTTTGATCCATCTATTCAGTGTGCCTACAGTAGAGGAAGAACGGCATGGTTTTCAAACCCAATACCCCTGCAGGAGGAGGAGCAGGGAGGTGGGGAGGGTGTTAGGATGTTATTATTATCATACAGTATTTATAAAGCGCCATTAGTTCGCTCAGCGCTGTACATTACAAAAGGGGACAGAACATGTGACAGAACAATACCAATACAATGCAAAACATGAGGGGATCGAGGGCCCTGCTCCTTGGAGCTTACAATCTAGGAGGGAGGGGATGGTGGCACAGGAGGAGATACCTGTGGGGGATGGAGTGGTAGGAAGAGTGGAGGAGGTTGGCAGGTTAGCTGGGGGTGGGGTAGGCTTCCCTGAAGAGTTGGGTTTTCAGAGTGCTCCTAAAGGAGAGGAGAGTGGGTGATAATCTGATGGGTTGGGGCAGGGAGTTCCAGAGGATGGGTGACACCCTGGAGAAGTCCTGGAGGCGGGCATGGGAGGAGGAGACCAGGGAATTAGAAAGAAGGAGGTCTTGTGAGGAGCGGAGTGTGCGTGTTGGGTGGTACTTGGATATTAGGTCGGTGATGTAGTTCGGGGCAGTATGGTGGACGACGGCTTTGTACGTCAGTGTTAGGATTTTGAATTTGATCCGTTGCGCAATCGGAAGCCAGTGGAGGGATTGGCAGAGGGGGGTGGCAGAGACGGAGCGGTTGGAAAGGTGAATGAGACTGGCAGCCGTATTCAGGATGGACTGAAGCGGGGATAGCCAGCGGCGAGGCAGGCCAGTGAGGAGGGAGTTGCAGTAGTCGAGTCGTGATATGATGAGGGAGTGGATGAGCTGTTTAGTGGTTTCTGGGGTTAGGAACGTGCGGATTTTGGCGATGTTGCGGAGGTGGAGTCTGCATGTTGCGGGGGTAGAGTCTGCACGAGTTTGTTAAAGATTGGACTTGGGGCTGGAAGGATAGGTTGGAGTCCAGAATGACACCAAGTACTCTGGCCTGTGGGGCAGGTTTGATGGTGGCGTTGTTGGATGTGATGGAGAAGTCAATGGGGGGTGGTGTCCGGGCTGGGGGGAAGACAATAAACTCGGTTTTGGAGAGGTTCAGTTTAAGGAAGTGGAGCGACATCCAGTCTGATATGTTGCTCAGTAGGTGTGTGATGCGGGCGGAGACTGAGGGGGTGAGGTGGGGGGTGGAGAGATAGATTTGTGTGTCGTCGGCATAGAGGTGATAGTTGAAGCCGTGAGAGTGTATGAGTCGGCCAAGGGAGGAGGCGTAGATGGAGAAGAGAAGGGTCCCAAGGACAGAGCCTTGAGGGACCCCAACAGAGAGGGGGAGTGAGGGGGAGGTGGTAGCATTATAGGTAACGCTGAAGGAGCGTTGTGATAGGTAGGATGAGAGCCAGGAGAGAGCAGAATCTCTGAGGCCGAGGGAGTGTAGTTTTTTGTTCTTTTTTATTCTTTCTGAAAAGGTGAACTAATCCTTTAAATTTGCGGTAATAAAAAAAGAAAAAGGGCAGGATTTTTTTTTTTTTTTTTTTAATTGATCCAAATAAAAAAAAATACATCCTTAAGTAAAAAAAACACTTGGGTAAGAAATGAATCATTGTAATTGTCACATTAATTATCGCTGCTAATTTTGGCCTGGACATTTACAATTCAATGTCCCCTGGTCACGAATGGCTTAACCCAACAGAGGGGGCCCCCTCATACCTGTGACAGCAGGTGGACTGACCTGAGCATTTAGGCAACCAGCCTTGATTGGGTGAATGCAAGCATTTGAATACTCACTTCCTATGGAATGCCCAGAGGGGGTCACAGATCAGCCAAGGCCTGGCAGCCTATACCTGTCAGGTGACCTCTGGCCTGCACGTTGGCTTAGCATTGGCGGCTCCCATATTCCGTTCTTCGAGAGGTACCGGAATCCATTAGGTGGTTTACCTCTTCAACGTCTACATAAAGTGTACCTGTAATGGGGTAAAACGTGTTAGTCTGCTACTAGGAAGCCATAGTGAGCATCTTCAGTTGCCTGTTAGTGTCATTTTAGAACGTCCGAAACCCAACGTTCACTAATATGCAAATTGTACTTCATCCAAGAGGTCTGGCAGTACGCCCTACCCACTTCTGTCTTGGCCACCAGGGTGCTACTGATCAAACAGGGTGCATAGGTGAGGGCAGGACCAGGCATGGGGTGAAATAATCTTTTTTGGGTTTTTTTGTGAACTTATTTTGTTTTTTAAAGCGGTTGTAAACCTCCATAATGAAAAAGGAGCAAAGCATATCTTCCTTTAGTGCAGTGCTCTCCAAACTGCGGCCCTTAGCTTGCCTCTATCCGGCCCTCGGGGAACTATTCCTCCCACTGATCCCAACAAGGATGCACCATTTCTTCCACTGACACCGACTATGGGGCATTTTTCCTTCTACTGACACCAATGATGGGGCACAATTCCTCCCATGGATATAAACAATTAGGTACTATTCCTCCAACTAATACCAAGGATGGGGAACTATTCCTTCCTCTAATACCAATGATTGCGCACTCTTCATCCCACTGACACCAATGATGGGGCACTATTCCTCCCACTGATACCAATGATGGGGCACTATTCCTCCCACTGACACCAAGGATGGGGCACTATTCCTCCCACTGACACCAATGATGGGGCACTATTCCTCCCGCTGACACCAATGATGGGGCACTATTCCTCCCACTGACACCAATGATGGGGTACTATTCCTCCCACTGATACCAATGATGGGGCACTATTCCTCCCACTGACACCAATGATGGGGCACTATTCCTCCCACTGACACCAATGATGGGGCACAATTCCTCCCATTGACACCAATGATGGGACACTATTGCTCTCACTGACACCAATGATGGGGCACTATTCCTCCCACTGATACCAATGATGGGGCACTATTCCTCCCACTGATACCAATGATGGGGCACTATTCCTCCCACTGACACCAATGATGGGGCACTATTCCATCTACTAATACCAATGACTGGACAATATTCCTCCTTCCACTGACTACAAGCAACATGTATTTTTTTTTAATTCTACTTACACTGGAACATTTTCTACTCCCACTGGCCTCTCCGGCCCTCTGAAAGGAGCGGTACACCTGTGCAGGACGGTAAACCGGCCCTTTGTTTAGAAATTTGGAGACCTCTGCTATAGTGTGTAGGTGCTTTAATCCAAACCACCAAGTGTGATTTCTGTCTCCGCCTGGCAGTACTCGGGTGGTTGGTTCGAATCCCAACCACGGCACCATCTGCCTGGAGTTTGCATGGTCTCCCTGTGCCTGTGTGTTTCCTCCGGGCACTCTGGTTTCCTCCCACACTCCAAAGACATGCTGGGAGGTGAATTGGCTCCTGTCTAAGTTGTCCTTAGTATGTGTATGTATGAATGTGAGTTAGGGAATTTAGATTGTACGCCCCTCGGGGGCGGGGACTGATGTGAATGTACAATATATATGTAAAGCGCTGAGTAAATTGATGGCGCTATATAAGTACTAATAATAATAATAATCCTGACACCATGCAATGCTGAGAGACGGCCCTCCCTACCCCCCACCCACTGTACAGAGCATGTTTGCCTGTGGGACTGTGTAGAGGGGGAGCGTCCTTTCTCTCCACTCAGGTCTCTGATTACACTCAGCTTTACGCAGTGTGTAGTGAAATCAGAGTAAGCCGTACACCTTTCAGTCCAGGAGAGGAGCCAGTACACCTGTGCAAGACTGAAGGGGAGGATCCGGAGCCGTTACACCTGTGCAAGACTGAAGGGGAGGAGCCGTTACACCTGTGCAAGACTAAAGGGGAGGAGTCGGTACACCTGTGGAAGACTGAAGGGGAGGAGCGGTACACCTGTGGAAGACTGAAGGGGAGGAGCCGGTACACCTGTGGAAGACTGAAGGGGAGGAGCCGGTACACCTGTGCAAGGATGAAGGGGAGCAGCCGGTACACCTGTGCAAGGATGAAGGGGAGGAGCCGGTACACCTGTGCAAGATGAAGGGGAGGAGCCGGTACACCTGTGTAAGACTGAAGGGGAGGAGCCGGTACACCTGTGCAAGACTGAAGGGGAGGAGCCGGTACACCTGTGCAAGACTGAAGGGGAGGAGCCGGTACACCTGTGCAAGACTGAAGGGGAGGAGCCGGTACACCTGTGCAAGGATGAAGGGGAGGAGCCGGTACACCTGTGCAAGGATGAAGGGGAGGAGCCGGTACACCTGTGCAAGACTGAAGGGAGGAGCCGGTACACCTGTGCAAGACTGAAGGGGAGGAGCCGGTACACCTGTGCAAGACTGAAGGGGAGGAGCCGGTACACCTGTGCAAGACTGAAGGGGAGGAGCCGGTACACCTGTGCAAGACTGAAGGGGAGGCCGGAGGGAGGATTTAAAGGGAAATAGGTCCCTGATCTTGGATTTCAGTGACTTTTCCCTGCTTGCCTCCAGCCCTCTGAAGGAGAAGTGCTCCCTCTTCACATCTCTAACGTGGTGTGCGGATAGAACACATTCTTCCCTTTGCAGAAGCCAATTACACGGCTAAGTTGTTCCATTTCTATCCGTCTCCTTCTGCCCTTTGTGAAGAGCTTCGTTCCGTCTCTTCCTCCCAGAGATGGAGGATCTTCGGTCTCTCAAAGTCAGTGTGATCTCCGCTGCATGCCGCAGCACTTCATTAGAAGGACATTGGGGGCTGAGCGCACCCCTCCGCCCACCGATCAGTGTCAGGAGTCAGAGAGAAAACGTGAACACGGAACGTTCTGTACTGAGATGTGCTGCTATGGGAGAAGGGGGGATATAGAGGTGTAGAAGGAGAGCAGGAATGTGAACCCGGAGGGGCTGCCCCCTGACCACACTCTACGGCTTCTTGTAGCAGCGACTCAGCTGGGTCAGGACTCGGCTATTGAGGGAGATGAAGCTCCAGCAGGGGATGAATATGAATGCTGCAGGCAGATCCAACTAATGACTTCCTATCACTGATACACCATAAACTGTGTGTGACTCCAGGAAGACATTAGAGTGTAAGCTCCTCTGGTACAGAGACTGATGTGACTGTGGGGGAGGGGACATTAGGGGCTCCTCTGGGGGGGGGGGGGGGACATTAGAGTGTAAGCTCCTCTGGTACAGAGACTGATGTGACTGTGGGGGAGGGGACATTAGAGTGTAAGCTCCTCTGGTACACAGACTGATGTGACTGTGGGGGAGGGGACATTAGAGTGTAAGCTCCTCTGGTACAGAGACTGATGTGACTGTGGGGGGAGGAGACATTAGAGTGTAAGCTCCTCTGGTACAGAGACTGATGTGATTGTGAGGGGAGAACACTGGGACATTAGAGTGTAAGCTCCTCTGGTACACAGACTGATGTGACTGTGGGGGAGGGGACATTAGAGCGTAAGCTCCTCTGGTACAGAGACTGATGTGACTGTGGGGGAGGGGACATTAGAGCGAGCTCCTCTGGTACAGAGACTGATGTGACTGTGGGGGAGGAGACATTAGAGTGTAAGCTCCTCTGGTACAGAGACTGATGGGACTGTGGAGGAGGGGACATTAGAGTGTAAGCTCCTCTGGTGCAGAGACTGATGTGACTGGCTCAGTGTTCCCTGTACAGCGCTGCGGTATATGTCAGAGCTATATAAATGTATAATAATCTGTGAGACTGTGACTGTGGGGGAGGGGACATTAGAGCGTAAGCTCCTCTGGTACAGAGACTGATTTGACTGTGGGGGAGGGGACATTAGAGTGTAAGCTCCTCTGGTGCAGAGACTGATGTGACTGTGGGGGAGGGGACATTAGAGTGTAAGCTCCTCTCTACAGAGACTGATGTGACTGTGGGGGAGGGGACATTAGAGTGTAAGCTCCTCTGGTGCAGAGACTGATGGGACTGTGGGGGAGGGGACATTAGAGCGTAAGCTCCTCTGGTACAGAGACTGATGTGACTGTGGGGGAGGGGACATTAGCGTGTAAGCTCCTCTGGTACATAGACCTGTTTATAACTGTCACCTCTGTTCTTTCAGGTCCTGGCAGGCAATCACTTTTGACCGACAACCGACATGTTTTATCCGGATAGTCGGGACTCACAACACAGCGAATGAGGTGAGACTCCTAACTGCTTCTATTGCAGATCCATGACAAGGATACAGATGGGGGGGGGGGGGGGGGGGAGAGCGAACATTGAACTCTGACATGGCAGAATTACACTGATATTAACCCATCCAGACTGAGGTGCCCAAAGAAAGCTCAGCTTTAGTCTCCATCCACACAAGAACGGACAGTTCCCATAGCACTTTACCTCTCCCACAGATGTTCGATCCCAACTGCAGGGAGGAGGCGGTGTGGTGTGCAATTCAGCACATCACATACAGGTTTGTTTTTTTGTATTTGTACCAACTTTATTTCAAGTGTACAAAAGTACATTTCATGTTGCGTAGCGCTACTGTACAGTGCCATGCAACTGTGTACAGAGTGTTGCGATAAAATGCAGCATTGCAGTGTGAATGGGACACACAGGATACAATTGTTCCTATAGCCAGCAACACAGATCATTGTATTCTGCAGGCGAGGAAGGCGGGGACAGAATACAATAGCTCAGCAGAGAGGGATCCACACATTCAATGTGGATGGGGGAGTCGGTTTATTTTTTTTTTCCATTCAACTTTCTGTTTGAACGAAAAAAAAAAAAAAAAAGAATCCTGTATGGCCTGCCTTAATTCTTTTAATGCGGCACCTTTGGAGAATTTTTGGGTACCATCATTATTCTTTGTGATTTCACGGGTGTGCACAATTCAAGACTTGATATGTTTGGTATCTATTTACTCGACGCAACTCAGTCTTTCCTATTTTACCAAAAAAATTGGGTATAATATTGTCTGCGCTAAAAGTCATTTAAGTCTTATTTTTTCCTGAAAAAATATGTGTTTGATAAATAGCTGCAATAAAAAAGTGCAACTACCACAATTTTATTCTCCGCTTTCAGAAAATATATACTTTTTTTGGGGGGGGGGCACTAAATGTACAGTATTTTTCGCTCCATAAGAGGCACTTTTTTCCCCCCAAAAAAAGGGGGAAAATGTCAGTGCGTCTTATTGGTGCGGCCGGTCCGGTATTCCCGCCGCCGTGTCAGAATACCGACCGCTCAGCTCTCCTCTGCAGCAGGACCTTACCTGGTCCTCGGTCCAGCGCTGTACAGTCTTCCCGCGCCGCCATCTTTAGTGTGGGCACTCGGCTGTGACAGCCGGGTGCCTACTGCCCATGTGCGAGAAGCGCTGCGCTTTCGAATGGTCCGACGTCTTCTGGGACACATGACAGGTCCCAGAAGACGCCGGACCATTCACAAAGCACAACGCTTCTCGCGCATGCGCAGTGGGCACCCGGCTGTCACAGCCGTATACCCACACTAAAGGGAGGACAATTCCACTGAAGTGGGAGTGGGTACCTTTCAAATTCAGGTACCCGCTCCCCCTCCTTTCCCAAAGGTCCGCAGTCTCTGGTCATCACCTGTACTGTGTCCACAGTCTCTGGTCATCTCCTGTACTGTGTCCGCAGTCTCTGGTCATCTCCTGTACTATGTCCGCAGTCTCTGATCATCTCCTGTACTATGTCCGCAGTCTCTGATCATCCCCTATACTGTGTCCGCAGTCTCTGGTCATCTCCTGTACTGTGTCCACAGTCTCTGGTCATCTCCTGTACTGTGTCCACAGTCTCTGGTCATCCCCTGTACTGTGTCCGCAGTCTCTGGTCATCTCCTGTACTATGTCCGCAGTCTCTGGTCATCTCCTGTACTATGTCCGCAGTCTCTGGTCATCTCCTGTACTATGTCCGCAGTCTCTGATCATCCCCTGTACTGTGTCCGCAGTCTCTGGTCATCCCCTGTACTGTGTCCGCAGTCTCTGGTCATCTCCTGTACTGTGTCCGCAGTCTCTGGTCATCCCCTGTACTGTGTCCGCAGTCTCTGGTCATCTCCTGTACTGTGTCCGCAGTCTCTGGTCATCTCCTGTACTGTGTCCGCAGTCTCTGGTCATCTCCTGTACTGTGTCCGCAGTCTCTGGTCATCTCCTGTACTGTGTCCGCAGTCTCTGGTCATCTCCTGTACTGTGTCCGCAGTCTCTGGCCATCTCCTGTACTGTGTCCGCAGTCTCTGGCCATCTCCTGTACTGTGTCCGCAGTCTCTGGTCATCTCCTGTACTGTGTCCGCAGTCTCTGGTCATCTCCTGTACTATGTCCGCAGTCTCTGGTCATCCCTTATACTGTGTCCGCAGTCTCTGGTCATCCCCTGTACTGTGTCCGCAGTCTCTGGTCATCTCCTGTACTGTGTCTGCAGTCTCTGGTCATCTCCTGTACTGTGTCCGCAGTCTCTGGTCATCTCCTGTACTGTGTCCGCAGTCTCTGGTCATCCCCTGTACTATGTCCGCAGTCTCTGATCATCTCCTGTACTATGTCCGCAGTCTCTGGTCATCTCCTGTACTGTGTCCGCAGTCTCTGGTCATCCCCTGTACTGTGTCCGCAGTCTCTGGTCATCTCTGTACTGTGTCCGCAGTCTCTGGTCATCTCCTGTACTGTGTCCGCAGTCTCTGGTCATCTCCTGTACTGTGTCCGCAGTCTCTGGTCATCCCTGTACTGTGTCCGCAGTCTCTGGTCATCTCCTGTACTGTGTCCGCAGTCTCTGGTCATCTCCTGTACTGTGTCTGCAGTCTCTGGTCATCTCCTGTACTATGTCTGCAGTCTCTGGTCATCTCCTGTACTGTGTCTGCAGTCTCTGGTCATCTCCTGTACTATGTCCGCAGTCTCTGGTCATCTCCTGTACTGTGTCCGCAGTTTCTGGTCATCCCCTGTACTGTGTCCGCAGTCTCTGGTCATCTCCTGTACTGTGTCCGCAGTCTCTGGTCATCTCCTGTACTGTGTCCGCAGTCTCTGGTCATCTCCTGTACTGTGTCCGCAGTCTCTGGTCATCTCCTGTACTGTGTCCGCAGTCTCTGGTCATCTCCTGTACTATGTCCGCAGTCTCTGGTCATCTCCTGTACTATGTCCGCAGTCTCTGGCCATCTCCTGTACTGTGTCTGCAGTCCATTGGTTCAGAATATTTTTTTTCTTGTTTTCCTCCTCTAAAACCTAGGTGCGTCTTATGGAGCGAAAAATACGGTAATTTTATTGCAATGATTCAAATTTTACCATGTGTGCAAAAAATTAAAAATTACAAGTGTTTAAAGGAAGAAGTTAAAACAATAAATAAATAAATAAATATATTCTGAACATAAATATGTGAAGAGAACACTAACCAGTATCTTCAATGTGAATATTTAGTGTGTTAGATCCGCCAGCATCTTATTGTGTGTATATTTATGTAGATTAGCACGTTACACGGCTTATTTTCTACCCTTCACTCCCGGCTGATCCATCGTCTCCCGCAGACAGTAAATCTATTGTCAGCATTGATTGCAGCTTTATCAATTTCCCTCCTGCATGAGATACACAATATATCAGCCTCATTATGTCCCTATTTCTTTATATCAGTAATAATTGTGATGTGTGCAATGCAATCATGGCTTTGAGCTGAACACATAAGAAGAGGAAAAAAAAAAAAAAATAAAACAAATCTCTTTTCTCCGGCTCGGTCTGGAGTTATACGCGGAGTCATTCACACAACCCATCCATTTTTATTACTCTCTAAACAGTCTAGAAATTGCCGTCCGTAATGACTACAATCTGTATGATAATTTCCACTTGTGGCACAGTACACCGCATAATTACAGAAGACGCTTTTGCGGCACCCAGATCTCCGCGATTTTGCATCTCGGTGAACGGTTACCAAAAAAAAAAGTTGCGTACGGATTATTGTTACCGGTTGATGGATTGCAAAACCTAGGGGAGTAATGGCGGAAAAAGACCAAGTGGTCCATCGAGTCTGTCCCTGTGACGGGAGTCACTTTGGGTGGGGGGCCAATAGAACACAGCTCACTTGGGAGAGGTGGGTAGACCCCTGTCTCAGCTCCCCATATCCTATGTATAAGTCACCCTGTGCCTGTTAGGGGTACAGGGTGAGCTGTCCTAATATTGGGGTGGGGGGTTGTTGATTGTTTAATGCCATGTGGTTGTATCCCATTGTTCTATTGTGTGTCTTGCTTGGGAGCAAACTATTATGGGATGTATGTGCAATCTCCTAGATTGTAAGCTCGAAAGAGCAGGGCCCTCAATCCCCTCATGTTTTGCATTGTATTGGTATTGTTCTGTCACATGTTCTGTCCCCCTTTGTAATGTACAGGGCTGAGCGAACTATTGGTGCTTTATAAATACTGTATAATAATAATGTGTTTATGTGTATTGGCTTGGTGGGGGGTGTCTGCAGCAACCCTCCCTCCAGATGGGACTGTCTGTTGGTGTGTCTCTTGTTACTAAAGGTAGATTGCTCCCTTGAATGTACAGTTGTGTTCAAAATAATAGCAGTGTGTTGAAAAAAGTGAATAAAGCTGAAAATCCTTCTAATCCTTTTATTTCCATCCACACAAATGCATTGGGAACACGACACATTCTATTCCAAATCACAACATGAAGAAAAATACATCAAATTTGTGTTGTTCCTCTAAAAAAATGGAAGAAAAGTGAATATTAGACGGTTCAAAAAAATCTCAGTGTTTGTATTCTTCTTTACAAACTCAAACATTCACTATATAAACTGAGAAATGTTTGAAGATTTTGCTTTCCTTTGAATGACTTCATGAATATTTGGTTGTAGTCGCACTGTTTCTGAGAACTGCTGTACATCTGTGTTGCATGGAGTCCCCCAACTTCTGGCCCCTGTGATCAGGTATTCCAGCCCAGGATGATTGGACCACATTCCACAGTTCTTCTCTATTTCTTGGTTTTGCCTCAGAAACGGCATTTTTGATGTCACCCCACAAGTTTTCTATTGGATGAAGATCCGGGGATTGGGCTGGCCACTCCATAACGTCCATCTTGTTGGTCTGGAACCAAGATGTTGCACGTTTACTGGTGTGTTTGGGGTCGTTGTCTTGTTGGAACACCCATTTCAAGGGCATTTCCTCTTCAGCATAAGGCAGCATGACCTCTTCAAGTATTCTGATGGATTCAAACTGATCCATGATCCCTGGTATGCGATAAATAGGCCCAACACTGTAGTATGAGAAACATCCCCATATCATGATGCTTGCACCACCATGCTTCACGGTCTTCACAGTGTACTGTGGCTTGAATTCAGTGTTTGGGGGTCGTCTGACAAACTGTCTCCGCCCACTAGACCCAAAAAGAACAATCTTACTTTCATCAGTCCACAAAATGTTGCGCCATTTCTCTTTAGGCCAGTCAATGTGCTCTTTGGCAGATTGTAACCTCTTCAGCACATGTCTTTTTCCCAACAGTGGGACTTTGCGGGGACTTCTTGCAGATAGCTTGGCTTCACATCGGCGTCTTCTAATTGTAACAGTCCTCACAGGGAACGTCACACCTTCTTTCATCTTCCTGGAGCTGATTGTTGGCTGAGTCCGCCCCATTTTGGCTATTCTTCTATCCATTCCAATGGTAGTTTTTCGCTTTCTTCCACGTCTTTCAGATTTTGGTTGCCATTTTAAAGCATTTGCGATCATTTTAGCTGAGCAGCCGATCATTTTCTGCACTTCTTTATATGTTTTCTCCTCTCCAATCAACATTTTAATCAAGGTACGCTGTTCTTCTGAACAATGTCTGGAACGACCCATTTTCCTCAGAATTTCAGAGAGAAATGCACTGTAACCAGCATGTACAACATTTGCTGCCTTCCTTAAATACTGTAAGGGCAATAACTGCCACCTGTTTTTCAAAGAATGAATGACGTCACTAATAGAACTCCACACTGCTATTATTTTGAACACGCCCCTTTCAATGAGTGATTCAATGACACAGAATCAGCAGCATGCATGTCATGACTGTCGGGTCTGTTGGATTTCTATTCCTCTACTACACCTGCTAGGAAATTATTTGCCATGTAGAAGTATCATTTCTACCAAAAACAGGGATTGATCCGGTTAGTGATATTTTGTTTTTTTTTTCTTGTAACTTTTTGAATATATAGATCTATGTTTGTCCCAAGCACGTTTAATTTCACTTACTGATGGATTCATTATCTCTGCTGGAAGTCTGCTCCAAGCATCAGCGGTTAAAGGAATACCTTCTAAGACTAGTGTTGAACTTTCCTCCTGCAAGTTTAAGGTTATGTCCCCATGTTCTTGATCTTAACTTCATATAGAAAAGCATTCCCTCCTGAACCTTATTTACTCCCTTCATGTATTTATAGGTGTCAGTCATGTCCATCCTTTCCATTTTTTCTTCCAGATATGTACACATTATGTTCCCGCAGTCTTTCCTGATATGTTTTATCCCTCAGACTTTTCACCAATTTTGTTGCTCACCTCTGGACTCTGGATGTTAATCTTTTTGTGAGGTCTTCAGAATGGGACACGGTATTTTAAATGAGGTCTAACGATCTATATAGAGGGATCAGGACCGCCTTCCTCCTGCTGGTCACCTTCTAGTGATATAAAGATCTATATAGAGGAATCCGGACCTCCTTCCTCTTGCTGGTGACCCCTCTAGTGATATAAAGATCGACTGTATATAGAGTAATCAGGACCTCCTTCCTCCTGGTGACCCCTCTAGTGATATAAAGATCTATATAGAGGAATCAGGACCTCCTTCCTCCTGCCGGTGACCCCTCTAGTGATATAAAGATCTATATGGAGGAATCAGGACCTCCTTCCTCCTGCTGGTGATCCCTCTAGTGATATAAAGATCTATATGGAGGAATCAGGACCTCCTTCCTCCTGCTGGTGATCCCTCTAGTGATATAAAGATCTATATGGAGGAATCAGGACCTCCTTCCTCCTGCTGGTGATCCCTCTAGTGATATAAAGATCTATATGGAGGAATCAGGACCTCCTTCCTCTCGCTGGTGATCCCTCTAGTGATATAAAGATCTATATGGAGGAATCAGGACCTCCTTCCTCCTG